AAACTAGTTAGAGTTAAAAAGTTGTTAAGTTGTTTAAATAAGTTCAAATAAGTAATGTCGTTTAGTTGGTGGAATTAAGCCAAAACTAGTTAGAGTTAAAAAGTTGTTAAGTTGTTTAAATAAGTTCAAATAAGTAATGTCGTTTAGTTGGTGGAATTAAGTCAAAACTAGTTAGAGTTAAAAAGGTGTTAAGTTGTTTAAATAATTTCAAAATAAATAATGTGGGTTAGTTGGTGAATTTAGTTGTTGGAATTAAGTCAAAACTAGTTAGAGTTAAAAAGTTGTTTAGTTGTTTAAATAAGTTCAAATAAATAATGTGGTTTAGTTGGTCGAATTAGTTCAAATAAAGTTTAATTAACCCCTAGTTAGTTTTACTCATTATTTGAAATATTTTGGTTTAGTTGGCGGAAATAATTCAAAACTAGTTAGAGTTAATGTTATTTAGTTGTTGAAATTAAAATTATCATTATTGAACTGACATACCACTTACACAAGAAGAAAACGAGAATCTTTGGCAACAGAGTGCAGGTGAACCGATTAGAGGTTCAATCTATGGCTTAACATAAAAGGCGTATAAGAAGAAGAAGTCTTGGTATTGTGGTTCATCATCCTCAAGCTTCAATGGTGGGGTTAGAGAGACAATATCTGTAATGGAGGATAAGATATCTTATCTCAATGCCGAGCTTCCTGCTGTAGCCGACAGAGAGAAGAAGAGGGAAGAAAGGAGAGTGAGGGTGATGAGGAGTAGTTGTATCTATTTGACATTTTAGACTTCTATATTTTTGGAATTGTTTGATCGTATTTTAGTTTATTTTGAAGTTGGATAGAGTTTATTTTGAAGTTGGATGAAGTTTATTTTGAAGTAGTTTAATGTATATGTAAATATTGTGTTGGCAGCTCTTTGGGTTGTTTTGGTATAAATATGCAAATGGACAACTAAAATTGCAGCAATTTGTTGCCAGTTTTGTAGCAGAAAATCGACATTCGAAGGTCAGAATCTCAAAAATAAAAAATAAAAATATCGACCTCAGGAGGTTAGAATCTCAAAAATAAAAAATAAAAATACCGACCTCTAGAGTTAGAATCTCAAAAATAAAAAATAACAATGTCGACCTATGGAGGTCAGAATCTCAAAAATATATAAAATAAAAAATAAAAAATACCGACCTCCAGAGGTCAGAATTTAAAAATTAAAATTAAAATATACCAACTTCCAGAGGCTGAAAATATTAAAAATTAAAAATTAACAAATACCGACCTCCAGATGTCGGTATTTCAAAATATGAGAAATAAATATTCTGACATAAATATTCTACATTCAGAAGACGGAAATAATAAAAATAAAAAATAAACAAATATATAAAAGTGACCTCAAGAAGTCGAAAAATTAAATAATGAATTTTTCGAATTAAAATTAAAACAGACCTCAAGAGCGAGATCAGTAACTACCGATCTCCAGAGGTTGGTATTGAATAGCGACCAAGCTTTTTTCGACCTAAGCTGTGAAGTCGATATTTGGTCAGTATTTCAGGGAATACCGACCTCCGAAAGTCAATATTTGTAGGTCGGTCGGTATTCATTGTTTTTTTAGTAGTGAGATTGCTTCTTCTCTTGGCCAATGGATTGGACACTCTGGTTCACCCCACTAAGCATCAAAGCAAAAAGCTGCATTCCCTGATGTTAAGAACCCTAATTCTAAGAAATAAGAAAAAAGAGATAGAAGATAGACACATGTAAGCAGTGGCGGAGCTAGACTTTTTATGAAGGGTGTGCAATTTTTTTGAAGGCAACGAACAAAATTTTTTGGTATGGATTTATATCCATCTTGTTCTACCTAATGACTTTACTATCAACATCGTCAATAAAAAAATTTCCACTAAACACAACGTCTGGAAAAAAAATCTCTAATTTGGTTTGCTTTCAAAAATACATGATAAGTTATATCAACTGAAATAATAGTTTTATAATGAATGGGTCGAGATTTTATTGAACACATACACATATTCAAAAAAAAAATTATTAATTGTTACGTAAATGTAAAGTTACTGGTCAACCTATCG